TGAATTAGGTTGGCAGAATTATTACGTCTCCTGGCTCAGAAGTTGGCTCGGATGAGCGGGACGCCCCTTCTTTCAGGCTACACCCATAAGCCATGTTGTATAAGAGTGTCCAGCACTTGTGCACAATATTCGACCTGCTTTCAAATTTCGGTTTTCTATATTTATTTCACTAGTACTCACCGGGCATAGCGTGGCGGAAGCGGCACGCCTTCGCTAGAAATCTGCGGTAGGCGTACATACCGCTCGTCGATATGCTCCATTTTGGGGCTGTGGCAATCCAACTGCTCTGCATTCTCATCGGCACCTTCAGGCGCACTGAAAAAAATTTGTATAATTACCTGTGGCTGCTTTTCCATTCGAAATGCCTCTCTGCAACTGCATAAACAGTCAGGCATCTCGCAAATTAGCGGTTTATGAAAATTTTCGTTGTGACCACACAAAAAAATATCATTGGCGACGCGCACTGGGCGGGCCTGTGCGATCATGCGTTTTTGCAGTGTTTTGTGCTGTAATAAGATCATCCGAAATTCCGCTAGATAAGAACCTCTTGTACATACTAGTCCTCGAATTATGGGAAGTTAATTATCCACAGTATACTTGGACAGGGGACATTCCCTTGAAATCCAAGGTTCCCAGCCTCCTCAGTTCTCGAGTTACCCAAATTGCAGTTAGAAAAATTCACGAGGCCGTACGTAGTAACCATGCACAACGGGGGGTTGAATTTGATAAATTTAAGTTGTAGATGAGTTGAAAACATTTACTGAAAGTTTCAGCCTACCAGCTTCCCTCGTTTCGGAACTATCCATTTTCCTGCCAAAAATTTTCACGGGCCGTACGTGGCAACCGCACAACGGGGGGCTGAACCTGATAAAATTAAGTTGTAGATGAGTTGGGAGCATTTCCTGAAAGTTTCAGCCTCCTAGTTTTCTTGGTTTCCGAGCTAGCGATTTATGGGCCAGGAAACCTCACGGGGACGTGCGCGGGAAACGCGCACAACTGGGGACTGAATTTAAAATCTTTCAGTTCAATACGGACGGGGAACATAATCCCAAAATTTCAGCTTTTTAGCTTTTCTGGTTCCCAAGTTGGCGATTTTCCCGCCAA